TACATGGGACCTTGATTGTGCACCTACATTAGAGGATAATAGTATTTGCAGAATGATTTCTTTTAGTAATTGCAGATTCTCATGGTCGTCCTTATCTAGATGACTTAGTCTAATCAATCTTTTAATGCAAAGAACAACTACTGGTACATATTGTGTGTTTCAGAATTTGCTCATTGTTCTGTGCCTTACTACTGAATTTCAGGTCTGTAACTCAGGAATACCTCAGCTGAAGTCAATGTAAAACTAGCATGAATGAGACAGGAATTAGACGGTCCATAAGAAAGAATGCCTGGTTTAGTGTGTTTTAAAAATAAATATTCTGTTTTCACCTGGACCTTGTTATATCACCTACTTGTGTAATCTAAGTAACATCTGATGAGAATTGGTTTGGGGAACTAGAGGATTCTTTGCTGGTTTGTGGTCTGAATAAGCTGCTTTTTTCAGCTGTAGGTGAATTACTGAAAAGCTTCATTTCCAAATAGCATTGTTAAAAGCTTTTTCCTTGCTTTGGGCCTGATCCTGCAAGGTGCTGCGCACCTCCTGTCGGGTCAGTTGTGGGTGCTCAGTGTATTACAGGAGTGGGCTATTAATGCACACACCTCTGTGTCAGAGAGCTTAACTTACAAATGCATTGTCTTGTTGTGCCCATTTTAGTGCTGCTTTCAAACCTGTGTCTGAACAATACTGTACTTTTATCATAATACTGTAATATTAGAGTTTCTGCAATAATGATCTGTTACTTCAAAGACTGTATTTAACCACAAACAATAGCTTTTAGTATTCCCAAAAGCTTATTGTTCCCTAAATGCCTGGAAAACATTCCCTGTAATATTATTGAATATAGTTGTTGTGTAACTTATAATAGTGCAGCAACAGCTTTTAAGGGAGAGATGCATGTCCTCCACATGCTATAGGACTGGTTTTGATCCTCTTCTCCCATGAACTCCTTTTTGCCAAAAAGAAACGAATCTACAAGAGATTTTACAAATAAGATTTTATGCCAGGTTAGATTTTTTTTTTTTTCTGGAGACTAGAAGGTATGTTTGGGAGAGATGGTAGGCAAAATTTTGTTGTTAATCTGTTGTCTGGTTATAACTAAAAAATGGCTTGATCTAAATACTCCAGATCAGTTTTAAACTGTTCGTATTGGTGAGACTTGATTGCTTTGGCTGTTTTCATAGATTCATAGGGTGCAATTATCTATTTTCATAGATTCATAGCGTGCAATTATGGTGCAATTAAATCTGCAGTAGCCAGATGTGAGCTTCTTGCATCATGCATAACTGCCATGCGTGCCATAAGAAATCCAGAAGAGCTGTTGCACCATGCAGAATTCCTAAGTTTTTATTATTATTATTATTATTATTATTCTAGGAAGCCCACAATTTGTGGATGTGGATTTCCTAAGGCAAGTGTGGAGTGGGGTGGGAGGCTGTGATTGCAGAGTTCCTAGAATATACATGGTCTAGTGAGCAATACGTCCAAACTGAAGAATGTGACTCCAGAAGTGGATAATGAGAAGGCTGCCCACTTGTTTGCACCCCATATGTTGAGAAATGATTAATGTTAAAACCCAGCAGGGAGCGAGAGTAAAGGAGGGATGGAGATGCTCTGCTCCTTTCCCTGCCCTTCCTCCCTTCTGCTGCTTTCTGGCTGTCCAGACCTCATCACTTCTCCAACACAATTCAAGTGCAGCTTCTCATCTACTATGCTGAGTCCAAGGGAAGCACCATTTCAAAAGGCTGTGGAGCTGGCTCTATAGCCGCTTGAACAGAGCTACCAGGAGCACAGTACTGTGCTGGTGGGGATTTGGGGTGAAGGGGAAATATCCCACTGGCAGTCCTATCCCACCCAACAGCCAAGAACTTCCCTCCATAACTCTGACCAGCAGGTTCCTTACCCAGCACCCCTACCCACCACTTACTTCTGCCATAATGTCTCACCCACATCCAAAATCAGCAATTGTAATTAAAGAAAAAATCAGTTTAGATTCTGTTAAACCTCATAGAGGCAATGTTGGAAAGGAGGAAGGAGTGATGGGTGTAGGGGAAATGGGTGGGGAGGAGAGCAAAGAGAAAATCAGATGTCCCAAATGTTGATTATATGGCAAAATTTGCCATGTCTCAGAGTGGTTGTTCCTGAAACTTTGACCTATTTATGCATCAATCCCTTTATGGCTTTCTTTTGCTTGGTAATTCAATATTCTTAAGTGGTGCCACAAACCATCACAAAGAAGATAATTTTGAACAGTACCAAAAATATAGCTGTGAAATAGTATCAAGTCTAGTGTATTCCAGCTTTAGATAAGTTTACTCATTGGCTACGTAACATTTATTATAGGAAGTGAGGTTGGTTGTCACAGAAAGAGTGACATGAAAGACTTTCCTTAAAATTCAAATAAATCCAAGCATAGTTTTCTTTTTATATATATATATATATAAATAAATAAATAAAAACCAGAATACCCCTTGGATATAAAAAACAGTCCCCCAGTGTTGACATACTTAAAACCTTGTGCATACTAGTAACAGTAAAGATAGTTTTTCTTCTAAGTGGAGATCACCATAAGAGAGCTTGTTAGTACTCTGCAGTGAAGACATACACAGAGACTTTAATTTGTGTTGCTTCTGGGCAGTTCAGGGCCCAAGATATTTGAAATATCCCTATCCTGATTTACAATCAAATAATTTAGTTTGACTTTCAGCTTTTCCTTTTCAGAAACTGTCATTTCAACGTGCAACGTGAGCTCTTCCTTCCACTGCTTCCATTTCTGAGAAGTTCTTAATCTTAAAACAGTAATTCCAAGTCCTATTTTCATATTTTGCTGTGTCTGCCATCATAGATCAGTTTGTGTACTTGCAAACTTCCTCTACTGCACCATGCCAGCTGTTCTTAGTTCATGCTCATGTTTCTTTCCCTCAGTTCATGCTCATGTTTCTGTATTCCTCTACAGTCTGTCTCTAATTCAGCTTTTCAGTCAGATTAAAGCTTTCTTTATTTTTCCTAATTTGTTTTCAGTTTTATTCAAACTTCTGTTGCCACCATTTCTCAGTGCCTATTCGTAACAGTAAAAAAAGAGAATAGAGATCCTTGACAACATGCCTGGGGAAGAAAACACCAGTTTGTTCCTGGTATGCAAGGAACAGTAAGCACGACATGTTGCCATTGACACACATCTTATTTTCTGTTCTTATGTCCTGTGATGATGCTCTAATTTGCCCCCATTTGGAATTTGTCTTCCAGGATAAGTTATCGTAGCATGTAGTTTCCCATGTCACAATAGTGTGGCCTATTTGGTGAGAATAAGAAAACTGTTTTTGGCCACATGGCCATCTCAATCAATTAGTCTGTATTTGGTCATTGATGGAAATGAGATCACTTGTGATCTATTTGTTAATCATCCAGGTATCTGATGTCTCTTGATTGGCAAACAGTTCCATTTTTAAGTCTGCAAGAGTGACTTATTTCTATCATGGTTATATGTTCAGGGAAGAATTGAAAGAGAATTAACTTCCTAAGTATGAATGTTAATACTCTGCCATTTATATGCTCTTCTAGTCATTTCTAGCCATTTTTCTGATCGTTGCTTTTTTTCTGTCTCACATCATCCTCTCTTTTTAAAAAATACTACACGCATTTCTACAGCGCTCATCACTGTGGAAATGTGGGAATCTTTTTTGAGGACATTGTCACATATGTACTTGCAGCTTTGCTTTTTAAAATGAGAAATGTGCAGCTAGCTGTAAATAGCTTACTTAGCTTAAATATTGGATTTTAATAACTATGCTGTCACCTTTTGTTAAAAGATACGTGGGCTAAGCTTGCTTGAAGTTTGAACAAGCTAATTGTTGCTAAAAACTTGAGGCTTGTAATTAAAAGAATGAAGTAGGAAGTGCTATAGAATGATTGATTAATTCTACATCCTTAAGAGTGTACCCCAGTAATTTTGTTTTTTTGATGAAAATGTTATGTACATATATTGACTGGATTCAAGCATCTGGGTAACAAGCAGTAGGAGTGGTGAAAACTGAAGAAGCAAAGAATGAATGGTCACAGCCTAACCTACACCGATTAAGATGGCACAAACTAGTTGCTGTTCTAATGTGGTTATTCCCTGTGAATCTTTAGAAACTAGTTTAATCCCCATGTAGGTGTCACCTACAGACTTGTTTCTCGGAGGTTCTGGGGGCAATGTAGGGGTGGTTATGTTGTACAGGAGGGAAGGCCAGCTGAGATATAAACTGGGTCAGGATGACCGAGAGAAGCAAATTGCAACTTGTTCCTCCTTTCCTGCTAGTAACTAATCACTATCACTTGTCCTGATCTCCAAAAAAAAATAAGCTGCCTTTCCCTGCTGCCTTCCCCCTTCCCACCATGCTAGAAAGAAGCATGGAACAGCAGCACAAAGTAGCACCAGTTGCACAGGCAGCCCAGAATTGTTTGGTGTGCGTGGGCTGACAAATGAGTGAAGGTGCTCTTGGAATGTGAGCCCTCTGTCTTCACTGTGGGTTGGCAAGACAGAGCCATGAAGTGAGTAAATCTTTTTTTTGGACAAGGGGATGGGAAGGAGGGATGGTCCAGAAATGGGGAAGGAGCTCATGTTGAAGGCAAGGGGCTCTGTCCTCCAACAAGGGGTAAGAGATTCTGCAGAATGCAAAGCAATATTACTAAGCTTGACTATGTTTTTGATCTTTTATAATCAGGTTCAGTATTATTTTATTGGGCTGCTGTGATTGTGTGCTGTGGGCCACAAATCGGTGGATGTTGTAATTTAAAAAATACTATTAAGTAATTCAAGGTGTTCTGGTGATGTATGTGTTTTTAGGAGGAAATTAGAATTGTTTAAGGAATTTTGATGCAAATGATTAAACAGTAGCTTTCCTTCAGAGTTTGCTATGCATTTTTGGCTTCTGGTTTTGTGATGCTCTTCCTAACAGATTTTTGCAATTTCTACCTACTATCTAAATTATGCTTCTCATCATTTCTCCTCTTTATTCCAGCCCTGATGATATTGGCTCCTGTTGGTATATCCTGCTGTCTGGTTCAGTATTCATCAAAGAGTCTATGTTTCTTCCAAGGAGCAGGTATGTCTATTTAAATATCTTTATATTTTAAAGGAACACTATGAAATGGAATGCTAGTCAATTTTTTAAAAAGTAGTCAGGTTATACCTTTAGTATTTCTTGTCATTTTTTGCAGTTATACAATCTTATTTTCTCATCTTTCTAAATATCTCTCTTCTGTTTGAGTGAAAGACCCACACAGAGGGGGAAAATGACTATACATCAAAGTGCTGTTAAATGCACAAAAATAAACAAGTTGGAAAACAGAAAAAAAAAAAAATTGGTGGTGGTGCACTCAAAGGCCACAACTAGAATTGGGAGACCTATTATTCTAGGCATATGTCGAACAGATACAAAGATGCAGTCCTTGCCTTGAAGAGCTTACAGTCTAACAAGAAAAGTGGCATAGAAAGTATGTGTAACTGACACTTATTAATCATTTTGTGTCCATTTAAGTAAAAACATTTTGAGTCAATACATAGTGGAAATCTGTATTTATTATTTCTGGTAGCACCATAGTCACTGTGCCAAACAGAGAGAAAGTCACAGTCCCTATCACTAAGAGTTTATTGCCTGAGAGTCAAAAATAGGAGAAGGGGTACAGCAAAAATGTATCGGTTAAGGTTGTGATTAACATGTTTTGATGATATGATGTTTTTAGTAATGCAATTTATTTTACATTAGAAATATAATACTTTTTCCGTTGCCCTTCTGTCTTACTAATATTACATGACTAATTTCTTGTAGTTGTCATAGATTTGAGTTGTCAAGAGAGGTTTGAATGTTGTTGGGCTTTCACCCAGCTCTCAAAGGGTATTCAAAGCTTAAGGTATGGTGTGGAAGAAAATATACAGATGGATTGCCAAAGTTGGGATCCCTGGGGGCGGGCAGCAAAGTTCTATAAGTACCAAGGGGTGGTGTAACAGGTCTTGAAAGGCAAGGTTAAACTTAAACTTGATGTGGTTGGGATAAGAAGAACAGTCAAAATGACAGGCAAGATGATGATAGGAAGAGGAAGTTTTGTTGGTGTCAGGGTGGGCAGAAAGGAGTAAGAGTAATCAAGATGGTAGGTAGATAAGAGCTTCAACAAGAGTCTTAGGTGTAGGGACAAAAAGAGAAAGTCAGGACTTGCATAACTAGTGTATGAAGAAACAGCAAGATTTGGAAATAGGCTGACTCTGACAAGGGAGAGGGAGGAGTCAAAGATGATACCCAGGTTATGAGCCAGTTAGAGGGTAGTGGTGAATAGTGGTAAATATATGGAGATATACCTATCTCATAGAACTGGAAGGGACCTTGAAAGGTCATTGAGTCCAGTCCCCTGCCTTCACTAGCAGGACCAAGTACTGTCCCTGACAGATTTCCCTCCCCCCCCATCCCTAAATGGCCCCCTCAAGGATTGAATTCACAATCCTTGGGGTTAGCAGGCCAATGCTCAAACCACTGAGCTATCCCTCCCCCTGAGGTAGAGAATGGGGACAGTGGCAAGGAGTTTGGAGGAAAAATGAGTTCACTTTCAGTTAACAGTGAGACACTAACAAGGAGATGTGGGATTGGCTAGATGGCCATTGGCTAGGAGAAGATTTGAGAGTCATCAGTGTAGAGATCATAATTAAAGCAACATGAATGCGTAGTTCATCCAGAGAGAGAGAGAGAGAAGAGAAGGGGGCTAGGACAAAGCCCTGTAATAACCCACAGTAAGTGTAGCAGAAATGGTTAGGACCTTCTCGGAAGAGACTGAAGGAACAGCCAGAGATAGAATGAAGAGAGAATGGTGTCATGAAACCCAAAGCAGGACAAGTTATCAAGCAGGAGGGAGTGATTTTAAGTGTTCTTTATTTTCTCTGTGATTGGGAGGAGTTGCCTCCTTAACAAACAGTGTATGTTTTTGCTGCTGCTCTCTGACTGCAAATACAAAAGGGTAGGGTTCTGCAAGTTCCCATCAGGACACAAATCTCAAAGGGAATTGGGCTCAAAATTAGTGTGTCTCTGTATAGTTATCATCGACCTTGCATCCAGAGAAATGGGTAACAACTCCTTCAAGACCCTATCAAGTAAACACATAATTTGGGAGTAATTTAGTGTATCCTAAAGCTATTACTATTCCTCTCTCTCTCTCTCTTCCTCCCTCCCCCCCCCTGAAAAGAGCAATTTATTTAAAATTAATAGCAGCTCTTAAATGTAAAGCCCCTTCACTGAATACTGGAAATGTAGACTGACAATTTGGGTTAACTTGCTGCATTTCAATTTGATAATGCAGCACATGCTGGCACAGTATCGATATCAGGACCTTGCAAAATCCCTAAATTGTTGTCAGGTGAGCTAAGGTCAGACTTTCATCCTCTAACTTGGTTTTATGGGTTGGGCAGATTCTTCACGTTACTTAAACATATTTTAGTGGTTTCAGATTCCTTCCCCCTTTTGTTTCCCCTTCCTAAAGACTCCTTAATTTTACATGCTCAGAGATTAGTTTCTGGTGTGGTGGGTCACCACTGAAACCTGTTACGCTACATTTTCATCAACCAAATCTTTCTTTCAGGTGATGGCTTGGCAGTGTTTGGTCACATACAATGGTTTCCCTGCTCCTCCTCTTCCTTTTCCCCACTTTAAATAGCTTTGGGAAAGGTTTTAACTGCAGTAGACTTCATGTTATCAGCACCCAAACCAACTGTATTTTGAGCCACTCTTAAATAAATTAATTGCATTCATTTCAAATCAGGGTGGATTTGATTTAAATCAAATTGATTTAAATCATAATTTAAGTCACTAGTCAGGAAGACTCGATTTAATCATGGATTTCTACATAAAAGTGCATTCTTGTTGGTTGTTATAATCTTAATACATATTCTTCACAACTCAGAGATGGATGTAGGTTTCATTTTTAGAAGGTACACACTATACATTTTTAAAGTGCTTTATTTTGCAAACTTTTCAGATTAGTTTTACAGTTAAAGCAGAAAATGAATGATTGGTTATTTCATGTACCAAAGATAATTGAAGCAGATATTTATGAAGTCATTGGGAGGTGAACTATCTCCAATTCAACAGGTTAATCATTAATATTTGGAGGATTTTCTTGCCAGGCTGTAATAGGAGGAGAACATCACCAGACAGACATTTAAATTGTTTTACTTAACTAAAACTACAATGTTATGTATTCTGGATTTTTTTCTTCAGTAGCAAACTTTTAACAAAACGAGCACATATATGAATTTTTGAATTTAGTTAAACATTCACGTTTTTTAAAATAGGTTTGTTTTTGTTAAAATTGTTTTAAAATAAAATAGTTAAATGAAATATTAAAGAAAATATCGACTTTGTCAGCCAGGTCAACATGAGAAACTTAAAATATTGGCTTCTGCAGCTAACTCAGTCGTCTTAACCTTCATTTTCCTGTTTTGTTTATAATCTGGAAAAGAAAAACAAGCATTTTTCAGGTCCCAAACAATTTCTCAATTTGAAATTAATTAGTCCAAAGGAAGAAAATATTATTTCTACACTGGCAGAAGAAGCTACTGCTGTTAAAAGTGAGATTATCACTTCAACAGTGTCTGAATCCAAGCGCTTAAGTGACTTCCACCAGTTCACTGATGTAACAATTGTTTCTGTAAGGAAGACATTCCCTTCTTCTGTTGTTACACAAGCACATAGAACAGGATCACTGTGGACATTACTCCACCCATCAAGACTTAGGTTAACAATTTCACCCTCTATACCTTTTGCACACTGCTCAATTTCCCTTTCGTACACTTTATCCAGCAATTTGCCTGCAACATCTGCTCTGTTGGGTGGACTGTATCCTGGTCTTAATGACTGAAGCATGTTAATGAAGTGTGGGTTCTCAATCATACGGAAAGGAGAGTTTGTTGCATAAACAAACTGGGCAATCTTTTCATCAATTACTCTTTTTGTAATCTGATGGTTCTTATCACAAATTTATCTATGGTTCTTTCTGGATGATGGAGATTTTTTTTTTCTTTTTGCTACAGTTTTTTATAAAACAAATCAAAACTGTGTGGGGCCCTGGAATCCTATAGGGAGTGTAGTGATTCCTCTGTGCACAAGTTAAATAAATCTGTGCTTTCAAATGACATCCTTAATTGCATTTTACTGCATATACTGTGGCTAAGTGACATACATGATGTGACTGAAACACTATCATTGGCAGATAACTCTGAAACTATAGAAAATGATGGTGATCTTGAAGGTGGATAGTCTACAGAATCCTGTATGTTAAGGATGGATTCTCCTAAATAAAATGTCAATGCAGTTATTTAATTACTATTACCATACTGCCATTTAGTATTACTCATTGCATTCACTGACACTCAGTACTACTTTAAAGGTGAAATTGTAAAAGGAAGATCTGCCTATTTCAGCTATTCCTTTTTTTATCACAACTGCATCTAAAATGATAGTACCACAAAGTAACAACTATATTTTTTGCTCAAACCTGAGAATTCAAGAATAGTCCAGAAGGAAGACAGGCAGTCCCTTAAGAAAGAAGTATGAAATAAAGAAGTTTACCAACCTGAAGATCCTGCATGTTCAGACATGTTCCTTTCATCATCTTCAAAGCATCTCCTGAGAAGGAACACTTCTCGTGATGTTGTTTCATTGGGGCAACCAGGCCTTGCATTTCTTTGTTGCACTGTTTGCATTTTGCACGCATGCCTGTCTTACCCACAGGTAGAGGAACTTCATTAAAATATTCCCAAACTGGGTCTCTTTTACGGCCTGCTTCCATGATGGTTTTTCCCTTCTAGTGAGTGAATGGTGTGGTAGATCCCAAATCAATGAAGGCTACACTCAGAAAGACCTCAAGACTTCTGGAATATGCTGATAAAATAGTTTCACTTTTGTTTCTACTGCCTGTCCCTCCCTTTTCACATTTATCTCCAGACTTCTCCTTATCCAGATATATTCCGCCCCCAACAATCTTGTCTTCTATTCATTGAACTTTTTGAAACTTTGCACTTTTAGAGAGAGGTAAGGGAATGACTCTGTGTACACAAATTTGC